TGGGGTGTTTATGGGGAACCCCCCTTTTTCAACAGCCATGCAACTTGCCCCTCTCTGCATATATAATGTGTGTTTCCAAAATGTCTGGAAAGAGTTTTGTTTTTCCAACTAGCTTCTTTTCTTCCGGTCTTAAGAGGGAGGGGGTTCCCTCTCTCTCTCAGGGACTCCTAAGACTATGAAATGCCTGCAGACCAAACGGAAAGCTCTTCCCTTCAGGGTATTGACTCTTCCCTCCCCCTCCCTGGCTGCAGTCCAGCAGATCAGCCCTCCCCCCCCAATCGCTTACTTTGGGCTGCTGTGGAGAGCGACTGGGCCACCCTCAGCTCAGGAGATCGTCCTTTTCCGAGGGTGTTTTAACTCCATTAACTGCTTGGTTGAGCTCAGCCCCCCTTTCGGGAGGGCTCCTTTAGAACTGGAATGGTCTTTGTGTCCAGCAGCCCATAAGCCCCACACAATGAGCCTAGATAAGTAAAGGAATCCATTTCTGTCCAAGGAGCTCCAGAGACGGAAAGTCCTCAGAGAAGATCAGACTGGCTTTCTGATGTGCTTAATGAGTTTTAAAAGCTCCCTGGTTAAGATCAAATTCCAAGGCAGTTTGAAGATTGTTCTTCACCCTTCCGAGTTCTTCCCTTTCTTTTCCTGATTCTCTCTGCTTTTTTTTCAGAGAAACCCAGGGCTTTTATTCTTCTTGGATTACAAAACCAATTTTGAAAATTAGGAAGGTCTGTGGGCTTGATAAGCGTCAGTAGTCATCAGTAGCCGTCTGTTGGCCCCGTTGTATCCAGGGCCCCCCACTGCTTATACCTGGTTTGGAGAAGACAATGAGAGCAGGAGCCAAACTCAGGGCAGCTGATATCTTTGTGTTTGTTCTTCCCTAAAAGAACATCAGATGCCAGTTCACCAGGACAGGTGGTGCATGTCTCTTCTCTGGCTTGAATTTTGTACTTTCGAACCAAGCAGCGGCTAGAGGTCATCACAGATTTATGCAGGCATATTGAAGATTCAGAAGGCTTTGGGGGCAATCTTCCATTGTTCACTGTAATACCACTTTATACTGCACTGGTGATGCCATATTTGGAATCCTGCATCCAGTTCACATTATAAAAAAGATGCTGAGATCCTAGAAAGAGTGCAGAGAAGAGCAACAAAGATGATTAGGGGTCTGGGGGCTAATCCTTGTGAGGAAAAATTGAGAAACGTGGAAGACAAGAGAAAGACTTGGGGAGATATGATAGCAGTCCTCCAGCACTTGAGGGGCTGTCACAGAGAAGAGGGGGTTCAACTTATTCTCCAAAGCACCTGGGGGCAGGACAGGAACTAGCAAATGGAAGCTTAACAAAGAGAGATCCAGCTAGAACTAAAGAGAAATTTCCTGACAGTGAGAGCATTTAATCAGTGGAACAGCTTCCCTTCTGAAGTTGTGGGTGCTTTATCGCTGGAGGGTTTAAGGAGAGACTGGGCAGCCATTTGTCTCGAATGGTAGAGGGTCCCCTGCTCGAGTTGGAGAGTGGACTAGAAGACCTCCAAGCTCCCTTCCAATTCTGTATTTTGTCCCTTCTGCCTCCCTAGGAATCCATATTGGCTTCCTGTCTTACCTGCCTATGACTTACACATTTAAATAAAACAAGCTCCTCTTTGTTAGGCCCTTTTGCAAACTGACTCTGGCCATTGCAAAGGTTATCAGGATGGAGCGGGGTTCACAACAACTCTATTTTAGCAAGACTTGTTGCATGACCCCCAAAAGATCCGAATTGCTCTGCCAACTGTGTTCCTAAGTGGGGTTCCTTCCAAGCATCATTCCTGCCCAGTTGTCTTTGGCTTCCGTAGGGCTCTTGCACCAGAGGCCTTCGGATGACGGCACTCCTTCAGTTACAAAGAGTAAAGTTGCAGCTCCAGATGTTCTAGCTAGCTGACTGGGGCAAAGGTCCAGATTGAGGAGGGTGGAATAATGCTGCACTAAAGGATCTTAATGCTCTATTGATGCTTTGGTTTATCTTGTCACAGAACGCCATAGAAATCCCATGTGCCCATGTCTGTCCAGCAACAGAGATTCAAATTGTTCATCTATGGCCACAAAATAATTTGTTATTTTTCAGGGAAAAGCTTTTTTGCCAGTCACTTAGAAAAAAAAGTTAACTACTATGGTACAGGCAACGATGACATTGTTGGTTTCATGGCTGCTCTCATAGGGGAGATGTTTTCTTTGGTGCTTACCAGCTTGCATGCCCCACCTGGATCTGTTTTTTTAAAGAAGCTGTTAAAAAAACCACCTTCCAAGTATTGTAATTATTTGTAGTTATGCCTTTGGGCTGGTGGAGATCAATTGTTGATTTTTGGTTATTAGCTAAGTTAACTATTTTGTGAACACACAAGTCTCCTATCTCAGCTATTTGATCAGTATGATTTTCATTATTGTCCTGCTTTTTTATTTCTACGTTACTCAAGATGGCGTACACATGTTCCTGCCTGGTGTTCTCTTGTCAACAGTAACCCTGTAAAATGTGGGTTGGATAGGAAGGGCTGCCCTAAATGTCATCCAGCTGCCGTCTCTGCGGAAGGGAGGACTAGAACTCCTGGTCTCCGGCTTTCTGATGTAGCACCTTAATCACTGCAGCAAGTTAGAAATTCAGGTCAATGAGGGCAGATAAGATATAGTTGCCCATTACGGAAGCCTTGATGGGATGAAACCCACACATGGAACACACAGCTAGAGGGATTTAAATTATTTAAAAGGAACCAAATAAAAGAGGTGGGTTGCTTTCTATATAAGAAATAACTGCATCTCTACAGAAATAGAGCACAACAATGATGAAAACCTGAATGTATTTGGGTCAATATAAAAGGGGGGGGAATGACATTGCCATAGATATATACTATAGGCCACACCACCAAAAAGAGAAAATAGATGAACTTTTTGCGAGTCAGTTAATTAAGGTATGTAGGAAATAGATCACAATAGTAATGGGGGACTTTAATTACCCTGACATCAACTGGGAGACAAACTCTGCACCAAGTGGAAGATCAAACAGATTCCTGACAAACCTAGCAGACAACTTTGTCTCCCCAAAAGTATAGAATGGAACTAGGGGATCAGCCATATTGGACTTAATTCTCACTAACAGAGATGAAATGATAAAAGGTGTTGAAGCCACAGGAACCTTGGAGGGAGAAGTGATTGTGCAATATTGGAATTCAGCATCATGCAAGCACAAGCAACAGAACAGTCAAACTAGAGTCTTGGACTTCAAGAGAGCTAATTTCAATAAACTTAGAGAGAGCTTGGGAAGGATTCCATGGATGAGAATCCTCAAGGGAAAAACAACTCAAGAAGCTTGGGAAATTTTGAAAAGTGAAATTACAAAAGCCCAGTCTAGCACAATGCCAATGGAGAAATAAAATAACAGCTCTCAAAAGAAACCATGATGGTTGCATAAAGAACTCTCTGATAAATTGAAAGATAAAAAGGACAAGTATAAAAAGTGGAAAGAGCGGCACACAACTAAGGCAGAATGTCAGCAAATAGCCTGAGCCTGAAAAGATGAAGTGAGGAAAGCTAAGGCTCAAAATGAACTAAGGCTTGCGACAAAAGTCAAAAATAACAACAACAAAAAACCTTTCAACATGTAAAAAACAAGAAAAAAGTTAAGGAAATGATTGGTCCATTAGTGGGAGAAAGTGGCAAGAAGGTGACAAGCAATAGGGAGAAAGCAGAATTGCTTAACTCATTTTTTGCATCCATCTTTACACAAAGGGGAAAAAATAGGCCAACCTATCAAAAACAGTACCATAAAAAACAGATTAGAAACACAAGTTAAGACAGAAAATGGTAAGTGAGCACATGTCCACCCTAGACAAGTTCAAATCACCAGAACCAGATGGATTACACCCCAAGGTTCTGAAGGAACTGGCAGGTATGATATCAGAACCACTGAACTATATGTTTCAAAGATCATGGAGCACTGGGGAACTACCAGATTTATGTGATTTATGACTGTTAATTGGAGGAGAGAATTGTGCCCAAGGGGAGGGGAATTCAGTTTTTGGCTTTAACTATGTAGTGCTGGTATTTTGTTTCTTGAATAAAAGATTCTTTAAGGTAAACAATGCCTCAAAGTTCTTTTGAAGAGTTTCATTTGTTGGAATCATGACAATAAGCCAAAACCTCCAATTTTTACCTAACTATCTTGGGGTCCCGAGCCCCAGGCGCTGTCCTTAGAATTGAGTCCCAAAGATTTGGGGAAGATCTCAGCATGGAGAAAGAAAGAGCGCCTGAAACCAGTACCCCGGCAGCGGCTGCTACCCCAAAGGGGGGAGCCAAGCCAGCGGAGAAGGAACTTTTTCAGGCCTTCCAGTTGGGGGCAAGGCCCAAGCCGCAAGGACAACTGATCTGGTCATCGGAATGGACCCTACCCAGTAGAGACTCCAGACACCTTGAGACGGCCTTGCCACAATCAAGTGCTTTGAAGATGGATGAGGTTGAGCTGCAAAGAGGGGATTCCCACATGTCGCATTCCCCAGACAGGTGGAGAACCACAAAATTGTCTACCCCTGAGGACTTGGGTGAGTGGAAGTACCTGTCCACAGTCCATAGTCAATTAGTGGAGAAGATTTGAGGAGCTAGATATAAAAAGTGGAGAACAACCTTCCCGTTCCCCATACGCGAGTGATCATGATGATCAGCGAGGCAGCTTCCAACTCCTACCAAGGGGAACCCCCAGTCCCACATGTACAGATCAGGCAGCCTCCCCGTCCTCGAACCCCCCCAAAAGCCTCCTACTGCTGCGGCTACTGAAAATCCCAGGCCACCTGCTGGGCCACCGATCAAGTGTTTCAGTTGTGGACAACAGGGACATCGAGCAGCAAGTTGCCCAGTCCCTTACCCTCAGCAGCAGAATAGACCGGGACCACCAGCGAGAAAGAAACCAGCCCAGAAGGCAACAAAAGAGAAAGCCAACTGGATCTCACAGGAACCCGTTGCCCAAGTCACGTCTCCCACACAGGAGAGTGCCGAGACCCAAGCTGGACCTGCCGCAGCTCTACCCTCCTATGACAGCGACGACGAAGGAGAGAATGACCCGATGGTGAGTCGACACGTCCCACGTTTCTCACTACCTGCAAACTCCATAATCCCTAAGATGGGGGCACAGGTAGATTTAAAAGTACTAGTCGACTCCGGATGCTCCCGGTGCGTTATTAGCTTATCACTTGCCCTGAAAATGGGCATACGAGCAAGACTGCTCTCTAAACCCATGAGATTTGAGCAAGCCGATGGTTCCTTAATGGGGGGAACTTTAGTCACGCAATTGACTGAACCCCTATGCTTAGAAATAGGCGAGCACTAGGAGTTCATTCGTTTCATGGTGGCTCCGAAAATGACTGAGGCTGTGATCCTAGGATTAGCCTGGTTGGACAAATGGAAGCCGTTTATCTGGTGGGAGAAGGGAATGAGGACTATGAGGTTACCTATAGGACCCAAGCCCCCCCTTAACTCGACGGACGTTACAGGAGACTTTAGCCCACCCAATGAGCACATGGCTGCCTTGTCTCAACCAGGTGAGCCACTCATCCCCAGTGAATACTGGGACCTAGCAGAGGCGTTTACTGAGAAAGAATGCAACACCCTGCCTCCCCACTGACCCAATGATTGCTCTATCAAACTGTTACCGGGAGCCAAACTCCCACAACCAAGAATGTATGCTATGTTCCCCCTTGAGATGGAGGAGATGCAGCAGTATGTGGACAAAAACTTAGCAAGGGGATTTATTGAATGGGCCAATTCTGCCGTGGGAGCCCCGGTGTTATTTAAAGAAAAAAAAGACGGGTCGCTTCATCTCTGCATAGATTATAAAGGTCTGAATGCGGTGAGCGTGGAAAATAAATACCCCTCCCCCTCCTGAAGGACTTACTGACCCACCTGGCAAAGGGGAGGGTCTTCACTAAGTTGGACTTGAGAGAGGCTTATTACTGGGTGAGGATAAAGGAGGGAGATGAGTGGAAGACTGCTTTTAACTATCCCATGGGGAGCTACCAATTTAAAGTCATGCCTTTTGGACTGCAAGGGGCTCCAGCTGTCTTCATGCAGCTGATTAATCAGGTATTACATGACCATTTATACAAGGGGTTTTTGGTGTATCTTGATGACATCCTGATATACAGCACAGATATGGCTGACCAGGTAAAACTAGTGAGAGAAGTGCTAAAGAAACTGTTGAACGCCAAACTTTATGTAAACTATCAAAGTGTGAGTTTCACCAGACCCGACTAGATTATCTTGGCTACAGGAATTTCCAGCGAGGGCATTGAAATAGACCCAGCCAAAGTGAAAGCCGTAATTGAATGGCAGCCCCCAAAGACTCGCAAACAGCTCCAGAGCTTTCTGGGATTCGCCAACTTTTACCACCAATTCATCCCCTCCTTTCCTGAAATTGCTTTACCCCTTATGGAATTACTAAAAACAGGCAAAGAGGGAGGAAAGCCGCATCCAGGCCAACCACTAGCATGGACTATGAACTGTCAAACTGCTTTTGAAAATTTAAAAAGACTATTTTCAGTCAAACCAGTCTTAAAGCATCCTTGCTCAGGGAAGCCCTTTGTGATTCAAGCTGATGCCAGCGACATGGCCGTCAGAGCTGTGCTACTGCAAAAGAACCAGAGTGGGACCCTACAACCCTGCGCCTACACCTTGAAAAAATTCACTGACTGCGAGAGGAGATGGGTTGTGTGGGAAAAGAAAGCTTTCACAATCCGTTGGGCTCTATTAAACTGGCAACACTATCTAGAAGGGAGTAAGATGCCTTTCGAGGTATGGACTGATCACAAAAACCTAGAAGCACTAAGGACTCCCCGCAAATTGTCTCTGAAACAAGTACAATGGGCGCAGTATTTTAACCATGTTAACTTCACCCTAAAGTACATACCGGGAGGAAAAAACTTCTTAGCTGATACTCTATCCAGACTGCCTCAGTATAAAAGCCAGCATGAAGAGGTTAATGAGGCAATTATCTCCAATCCACAAACTGCTTCTCAATTTACGCTGCACAGAGTTCCACCTTCAAGAGCCCCTAATCCCATTGACCCTGGGGCAAAGAAAATAAAACGAGCTCCTCACTGACCAATGGTTCAAGGACAATCAAACCTCCCTAACATGCAGGGATGGTTTGGCTTACAAAGGGGGAAAACTGTATTTNTCTTGAGGGCGCGGCGAAAAGGTAGGAGGTCCGGAATCGTCCGGATCTCGGGGGGTAGTTCGTTCCAGAGGGTGGGGGCACCCACAGAGAAGGCCCTCCCCCTGGGGGTCGCCAGCCGACACTGCTTGGCCGACGGCACCCTGAGGAGGCCCGCTCTGTGGGAGCGTACCGGTCTGTGGGAGGGGATCTGTGGCAGAAGGCGGTCTCGGAGATATCCAGGCCCGATGCCATGGAGCGCTTTAAAGGTGGTAACTAACACCTTAAAGCGCACCCGGAAAGCCACTGGTAACCAGAGACCCTTTGCCAGAGACCCTCTGCCTTAATGCGCTCCAATATTTAAAAACATTACACCTCATCTGCCATCAATTCTGGTAGCCGGAATTGAAACAGGACGTGAAAAACTATGTCTAGATTTGTGCTGTATGTGCCACCATGAAAAGAATTCCGGGGAAACCCCCTGGGTTATTGCAACTGGTGGCAGACCCTTTCCAACCATGGGAAGAAATTGCTATGGATTTTATAGTAGATCTACCTGAAAATAGGGGAAATACGGTCATCTGGACTGTGATAGATCTGTTTTCAAAGCAGGCTCACTTCATTGCCTGCAAAGGGCTCCCGTCCGCCCAACGACTAACCAAAATGTTCCTGAAACACATCTACAAATTGCATGGCGCATCTAAAAGAATAATCTCTGACGGGGGTGGAGTTCACAGCTAAATTTTGGAGGAGTTTTCTTAAACTAATTGGCTCATCTCAAGGACTATCATCGGCTTTTCACCCGTCTACCAATGGTGCGGCTGAATCTGCGAACTCAATGGTGGAGCAGTATCTCCAATGCTATGTGAATTATCAACAAACGAACTGGACTGACCTCCTCCCTTTCGCAGAGGTGGCTTACAATAACTCTGTTCATAGCAACACCACTTCATGCCTTTTAAAGTGGCCACAGAAAAAGAGTTTAGCCCAATGCCCGAATATCCTCAGGGACCCTCCGCTTCCCAAACTCTTGATGTGGACAACAGGGTAAGGGGGT